AGAGGTCCCTCATCATTTGAGTAGCATAGTACCACTGCATCACCTAGCTGACCCAAGCTTTTTAAATCATATCAAAGTAAATGTCTTGGTGAAATTTTATTTTTCATTCCCAATGTTAACCATTTATTGAATATGACATCTTTGACCATCCCTTTACTATGACTACATACAATGACAGCTGAAGATTGTTAGAAAATATTCTCATGTCTTCTCTTCTTCCTGTCCTCTGAATCTCTCTCTCTCACTGCTCCTCCACAACATGACAGCATGAAATTCAGTCTCCTAAAAACACAAAACCCTTTTGACCCCACATCTCAGTCTTTCCCCTTCCCTGTACAGCTAAGCTACCTCAGAAGTGTTTTCACTCATTGTCTCAACTTCCTTGAGTCTGGCTTTTTGCTGCCACTGCTATAACCATGAAACTCATCTTTGGACAATGTTCTAGTGGTCAAAGCCAATGGTCACTTTTTCATCTAGTACCTACAGCATTTGTAGTTGTTGGCTGGCTGCTTTGTCTTTGCAGCTTTCTTCTTCCAGAATACCGTAACTTCACGGATCTGTGACTGTACTTCTCATTCTCATTCAGCCCTGCCTGCACCTTCAATGCTGCTCTCTCTCAATATTTGTGGATTCTATCCACAAATCCATTCTTTGTTTTCGTCCTCACACATGGCATTACTTGCCTCATATGAAGGGTCTTCAGAAAGTTCATGGGAAGTGTGTATCATGAAGAAACTATGCCTGGATTTCAAACAATTTTTGCACCAAAATAAACTTGTACTTGAATCCCATTTTTCCACGAATTTTTGAAGTATCCTCCTACATGTCATGCTTCCTGATCAGACTTTTCTCTGAGCTCCTGATCCTTGTTAGCTGCCAATTAGTTACCCCACAGGTAGGTGAGATAAAACTTCATCTTCTGCTCAGGCATGTTTGTCACTAACTCCCACCAATTCTGTATCTTCACTCTCTGTCATCTCCATCACCGGTAATAATTCTTCTGTCCTCATGTGAGCCAGTTCATTACATTACCAACTGGTCCTGCTGTCTGTCAGGTCCTCATCTCTTCTGGAGAAATTGTAGCCAAATGGTGATTTTTCCTAAATTTTAAATCGAATCATGGCATTACCTGCTCCATCTTCTAGAGGATCAAGCTTAATTCCTTCTAAGAATCCAGGTCTTTCCTGGCATAATGGAAAGGACAGATGTGTCAGCCCCTGTTGGCTGCGGTTGTGTCTGCATGTGTGTGCAGTATGTCAGGATCTCTTACAGTTTCTTCATCTAAGTTGCGGACGGGTTAAAGATGCCAAAGTAGAAGTGTCTGATACAAGACAGGTACTCAAGAAAGGGCTGCTCTCTTTCTCTACTTCCACCCGCTGCAGCCCTAAGTGTACCCTGCATACTGGCCACGCAACTCGCCACGCCATTCTCTGCACACAGGCATCCTGCTCTTTCCTGACTCTTGTTTCAGCTTGTGGAATGGCCCTTGCCCTGGTCTGTTTGTTAACTCCTGCTTATCTTTCAGTGTTATACTTGGATACTACTTCTGGGTCAAACTTTCTTGCCACCACTTAGATAAAATTACTTCTTCCTCTCTACACCGATGGTTATCCTTCATAAATCTCTTAGTTTGTTCTGTTGATATTACTTTTCAAAAATGTTTGTTTCTGGATTATCTAAGCAGGTATACAGTTAGCTCCTTGTAGACGGGTGTTCCTTACCTTTGTATGTGCATATCTAGAACAGCCACCCACATGAACACAAATCAATACCAATATGTTCTTAGTTATTAAAAGTCCAAATTATGAGATATGTATAAACTATAGGCAATATGTGCTTATCGGATTTTTCTGAAATAAGCATTAACTTACCACTTTTTGTTAGAAAAATCCAATCCCTTAGTTGAAAAAATATACCATTCAAAGACTATGTTTTGTACAAGCTTTTTCAGGATAATAGCAAAGAACATTCTACTGACTATGCATACGCATATGAAATGGTTTATTCCATGAGGATTTTGTGAGGATTAAATGAAGTAATCCTTACAATGCCCGTTAGCACAGCCCCTGATACACAATAACCACTTCAGTTTGGTCTTTATTATAATCATTCATAGATCATGTATTATATTTGCATTGATCTAGTTTACCCAGATTCTCCTAAACTGTACATTACTGAATCAACTAAATTTGGTACTCTCAGAAATCAGCAGTCTTTTAGGCCACAGAATTATAATATAGTAGCTTGCCAAAACAGATTAAAGCTTGAAAACTGAAAGATCTTGTTAACATGAGACAGTGATTAGTTCAATCCAAGTTCATGTATCAATTCTAAATTGACCACTTAGAAAAGTAACAAACTGGCTTGTAAGACAAATGAAAAAAGCAACTATCCCTTTACCCAGTAACTGCCGGCCATAAAAGGTATTAACCGTAGATGCTAAGTGTACTAAAAATTCTAGGTCTCAACTGTCAGAATGAAAATACAAAAAACCTACTTCAACAGTATTTTATATACTTGGAAGTACACAATTTATAAGTGCTTTGACTCTAGCCTCAGAAATTTAGAGAACAATTTAGTTAAGATTATACATGATACCTGAATGAGTTGATCAATTATAAAATATTTTCCCTATTGTGATTCTGTTATGACAGAACAAGTTAATTGATAACATATTTCCCCTATCTTGATTTTGTTATGGTTATTACATGATTATTAATGAAGAAAAACTCTCAGTGGCAAGTCTTACCTGAAATTGTAAAATATTTAAAAATTAAACCAAACTTAATAAAAAAAAATAAAAAGCATGTTGTTTGTTCTAACAAAATTTATTATGCAGTAATTACAAAGGTTAAAGATTCTTCCATCTCAAATAAAAATAACTGTTATAATTATACACATTATATAGTACCTTATAGAGTGATTCCAATAAATGTCACAGGAAATACAGTGCATTTTCAAATTGGAGAGACAAATACTTTCTCATTCACAGTGTTTGACATAGGAACGCCTGTTCACAAAAGGGTCTGGATAAAGTCATGCTCCTAGAGACAGTCCGCACAGAGCTGTGCCCACACAGTTCTTTCAGAAAGTGAAGTACCGGGCAAACCACTCCTGGCGCTGGGGATCTGGAGAGGCCACCGGGGAAGCTTCGCTCTGAGGAGGACTGAATTCATAAAAAGAGAGACACGGAACCCGGCATTAAGCAGTTTTGCAGAATGAAGGAAAAAATCACATAACACGTCAGGATAGATTACCACACTGGTTCCCCATGTTGGAAGTTGTTTTTAAAGACTGGCAACTCCCTCTACACTAGAATTGTTTCTCCACTCCAAGAGAGCATGAGAGTGCACCAGCAGCTCAGAGGAAGTCAGTGAAGGAGCCACATCGCAACAATTACAGAAAAACAAAAATCAGACAACTGAGAAAAATAATGTCACCCTGCTTGGAAAAGATTCAGGAGGAAGTGTGGGAAATAAGAGAGAATAATGTTCCTCTCGTTAAGCACCTTTTCCCTTTTAGTTAATTCAAATTTTAGGCTCTGATATAAGCATTTGATTCTTACAGATAGGTCCTTAAATATAACTAAATTAAGTAATTATATCACGGTGTAGTATTTTTTATTATATGCATATTTATAACAAACTTTCATTTCATAATTCCATAACCAAATAAAGAAAAGGAGGGTATCCCCAATCCAATTTCCCTTCTAACTTCAAAGTTAAGTCACTTTTCTTAATTCTAACTAAAGATTCTTTGGGCTACTTGAGAAAACAAAAGCATCCCTACCGTCTTTGGGGGATATTACAAGGCACGCAACAATGTGTAATGGAAACTCCAGTAGTCAAGTTCCTTGAGCTCATGCACATGCATCTTACTGATACCTGAACATACCCATGCACAAGGGAAAATAAGCAACACAAGATATTTAGCAGGAGACACATTCAGAGGTGTATTTGACTATTTTTTATTCTTGCTATTTTTATTTTACTATTTAAAATAATTAGCCATTAACTATGTCATTACTCACTTAGTGTGAAAAATAAAAAAACACAACTGCCTTCTTGTAAGATTGAAATAGAGTAAGAATAAGAAAAATATTAAGTTTAAAGCAGCTAAACAAATCAGGAATATAGTAAGGTGAGCCAAAACAACAGTACTATACTTTCTGGCTTTAATGGCTAAACGACTGCGTTTTGTTCAAAATACTTATTAGTTACATTTAATAAATAACTCAGAGGTAACTTAAGGTTGGAATGTCAACTTTAAAAATTATTTACTTTTTGCTTAAGTATATCATTAAGTTCCCAGAGCTTACATGTTTTTTGTTTTGGCAATAGCATCTATATTTATACTAAGCCTGGTAAACAAGGAAGGGGAAATATATATACATATATATGAAATAGGAATGAAAAACTATTTATTTAATGGATAAAAAGTTATTTCAAAGTTCTGCAGTTAGTATGGATAATTAGTGAAAAATTGGTGACAATACTATAAAAATGAAGCAATTGTCCATAAATATTAAGTCCTAAGCATATGACTAATATTAACACCTCTTCAAGCATTTAGAAAATCAATGACAAGAAATTAGAAAAAATCTTTCCAACAGTAAAAAAGGAGTTCTCCAGAGAGGTAATAAATATTTAAAAAACATTTCACAGTAATATTTCCTTTCTTAGGTTGTACTTAGAGAAGTGGATTTCTGTAATGTAAGAAGGTAAATTTCTCAAGTTAAAAAAGAAAAGAAAAAAAAAAAAGACACTGGTGAGACGGGCTCACCTCAAAAATGCCTTGGGCTCTTTGGGTGGCACTGGCTGTGGAAGTGGTTTGCTGCTGTTGAACTCGATATCGTGGACTGGAGAGTTAGGAATGGGGTCCAGGCGGTTAGGATGTCCATTGCCCACTCCACCAGATTCCAGAGCACTTAGATTGGGAACACTCACAAACCTGTTTGTTGGTGATTTATCATTCTTCTTCTTTTGCTGTATTAAAAACAATACATGTGAGGATACTCCCTGCATAAGGGCAAATGAAAGAATAGGAATAGCAGAAGATTTAAATTTGGCATGGGAAAATTTTGGAAGCTTTATGTTAAATTAGGATGTTGAAATTAACCAGTGTTACCCAAAGTGTGGTCTGGGGATCCTTGGAGGTGTTCTTTATGTACATGGAATCCTCAAGGGCAGACATGCTACCAGGACAGAATGAAGGAAGAACATTAGGAGTGGGTCATGGGAAGAGAAGAAAGAGGTGGAAATATTGCGGTGGGGGTAAAGAGCCTGGGAGGAAAAGGGTAAAAGAGGAGAAAATGTAGTTCTTGCAGATACCACAAGGTTTAATGAATTTAGGCTAAAATTAGGAGAAGGGGTGAAGTTAAACATAAACATAATTTTAAAAGAGAGGTCCATGAACTTTAGCCATCTGTCAAAGGGAGGCAGTTCTTGCCTGGAAAAAAAAAGGAATGAGAAAATGCTTGGCAATGTAATTTGAAACAAGTCTCCCACTTTTACTTAAGACCTAAAGCTGATTTGAGAGAAATAAGTTGCTTCTACCTTCACTTAGACATTTTTTCTGCAGAAAGAAAATGAAATCTGTTTGACCAAAGTCTAGTTTCCCAACTAATCGGCAGTATCATTAATTGGCTCATAGTATTTTTTTAAAGATTATGAACAATAGTAATCAATGTCCGTTATTTTTAAGTCAGTCCTCAAAATTGAGAGATAAAAGAGGAAAACAATCACAGAGTATCAAAATCTATCAGCTTGTAAATCATTAGCTTCAATCTCCAAATATTTTATTTACATCCTTAAAATCAATGAGCAGCATCATGCTGAGAAATAAAAATAATACATTATAAAATATTTAGAATATTCATATCTTTGCTAATTATAAATATGTAATTAAGCTTATAAGATAATTTTTTTGCAAATGACTTGAGTGTTTGAAAACAATGCACTAATACACAAAACTGAACTTTCCTTTATTTATAAATTATCTCACTATTTACAATAGACATTTTCCTCCATGTCATATTCTAAGATTCACAGGCTCTCTAATAAGGATCCTATTTTAGCATAATCAGAAAAAGAAAGGAATAATAGTATCTTCTATGGGAGTATTTGTGAAAACTCTTAGGAGTATATGTGTCACTATTAGACGTCAAAAGTAATTTGAAAGTTCTTAACAAGGCTGTATCTTTTGCACTTTCTTACTCTAATCACCAGAGGGATAACTAAAACTACTGAAGATTACTGAACATCCAAAGTATCACTGATAAAGTTCTGCAGTAAAGGTTTTGTAGCTAAGAATCTTAATTCCAATAAAATAAATAATAAATTTAAAAATATTTCTATTAATAGTATATCATGTTACTAAAAGACTCATAATCTTGCTTTAAAAGTAAAAGCTTATTTCACCCAAACTATACATTTTAAAGCTCAAGCTAATAGTTAATTATATTCATTAATGCACCAATTGTTTACTGAGCACTTCGATTGTGCCAGGAGTATTTCGGACCCTTGGGGATGCAGTTATATATGCTTCTATCCTGTAGTTCTTCTATTTTATAAGACATTCAAAATTTAAGTTTGGAACACCTTCACTTGAGAAAAGATAAATTCGGTGTTCTTAGCAGAGAAGTTTCATGAGCTTTGAAAGCAAAGTTTCTGGGTAAGAGCCTAATAGAAATTAGGTATGATGTAAAACTCAGTAAAATCCGAATTGAAAAAAAATAACTCTACTTTTAAAAGTCTACTGATGACTTTTGCCAACAGATTCATAATATATACAATTATTCTTTATCACTTGCTTTAATTCACAGGATAATTTCTGGTGGCTTATAGAAATGCACTGAAATATTTCAACTGAGCAAATACTTATTCAATATCCACTATAACCAAAGCACTATGACTAGAGCCATGGGAAACTGAAGTACAAAGATGCTTAAGACTTAGCCATGCCCATTTCAAGATTCTCCCATTTGTCCTAAGAGTAATGATGTCTCAGAATAAGTCACAGTTCTCCTTTTCCATGACAGAGCATGTGCAGACATGCACAGGAGAGTGAGAGAAAGAGAGAAGCATACTCCAAACCATAGTCATCATGAAGCTGACTCAGTCATAGTTTTAATTGTTAAGAATGGGCATAAAGGGACCAGCAGTTAGCATAATGGCTATGTCGCTGGACTTCCATGTAGTTGCCTGTGGTTCGAGTCCTGGACCCGGTGGCTTAAACTCACACTTGACGCATGTGTGTGCGTGCCCAAGATCCCGAGGAGAATGGAGGAGAAGGGATTGCAGCATGGCCATCCCCCCTGGGGGTGATTTCTTGCTTTCTATCTGTCTGTCTCTCTCTGTTTCTCTGGCAAGCACACGTACCCTTATAGCAAAAACCTCTCAAAAAAAAGAAAAAAAAAAAAAAAGAATGGGCATACAAGCTGGTCCCATAGCTCAGTGGTTAAGTGCTCCATAGAGGAAGCCAGATAACACATGGTTGACCACAGTTCAAATCCCGGCTGAGTGTCTGGAAAAACACACTGGAGTGTGCATGTGCCCAGTATCCTGATGAGATAGACAATTAGAGGAAAAAGGACTGAAGTGTGATCAAGCCTAGCTGGGGGAGGGTTGGTGCTTTCTCTGTTTCTCTTGCATGTATGCATACACACCTACACACAAGTGTGCTCATAAAAAGAGAGAAGTAAAGCCCTTCTCTGAAGACTGATGGGCAAGAAAATGCATGTCTAACACAAGGTCCATTACAGTGCTAAGCCAGAAGCTAAGGATAGCTATTCGGTACCTGGGGCTAGAGTTCCTTTCTAGACCCCATAGAGGAATGTGATCCATGGGCAATGACAAGACATTGTCTTAAGGAGAGTTAGAAGTGTAGTTTTCTTTAGAAGTAGGAAAAACAAAAGGCAGAACTATGGCTTTATAATATTGATAAAAAATATTATCCAAAATATTTTAAGGAGTATGAATTATAAGTAAATGAGTATTAAGGTTCTCATTCTGAAAATAAACACATAAAGAATTAGTAAATTTTAGCATTAGATTATTAAACTTAAGAAAACTTTTTCGGGAGCTTTACTCTATGCTCTTCCAAATACTTTACAAAACTTTAATCAAGTTTTAAATCACATCCTTCTTCTACAATGTTTATGGCACATACCTTAGTCAATGGATTAATAACACCAACAGTAGGACTTGAGTTAAACACTTTGTTGAAGTTAGTTTCTCGATTGACTAATTCCAGTTGATAAAATTTATTGTCCTCCTATATAAAAGAATTATAAACATCTTTTAAATAATTTTTATCAAATATTCAAAAATCGTATAAGTACTGTTTCATTCAAAATTTAATATAAAATCTGAATGATGATTTATATACCTTGTTCAAAGATTTCTAGACCTGATTGCTAGTAGTTTAAAGGCTGCTGAAGAGTATGTTTTCAATACCTTTTAAACTCTATGCCTAGAGATTCAACTCTATCCTCTTAACACCTTTTCTTCCAAGACTGCATCTAAATGTTTGTCTTGTCCCATCTTCATTTCACAGGGCTGGCTGTACTCTGCCCAGGTCCAGCTTGCCTTCAAGGGGCTGTATGTCTGGTTGAGTTGTTTCCACAAATGAGGATGACACTCTGATGTATTGATATCATTATTCTTCTGTACTGAAAATAGATTTGATCTCACCTAATCTTTCTGAGACGACAGGAGGTGTGATCATTGAACAAGTGGACTGTGGGAAAATCGTAAGTAAACAGAACAGCATGCTTGAAGATACAAGGCGGTGTGCTAGTAGAACTAGATTCTAGCAGAATCTGGAACCAGATTCTTCGTCACCCCTTGGTTACCACCAGGTGTTATTTAAGTCACTGATCTTGGCCCACGTGCTTCACAGTCCATGGAGTCAGGGTATTGTAAATAACCATTGCTACTTTACTGGCCCTGTCGCTGACTAGCTGTGTTGCTTTGGGAAGTTACTTTACTCTTTTAAATCTAATACCCACCCAGCTATGAGGATAAAATGCAATTGTATTTGTAACATTGCCCCAGTAATAACTAAAAAATTAATAGCTGCTTTTATGAACCATGAATGAAATACACTTACTACACTTGATCATTTCTTTGTGAAACATTCAGTAATTTTCCATGAATCTACTGCTATCAGATAGAGCAACATATGAGACAGGCCTGTGGTCATGGTCATGATGCTTAGAAAGATGGCGGTTGGCCGGATGGAGTAGCATACTCAGACTCTCTCCAAAGCCTGCTCTTGGGTTCCATCTATCGGCCCTAATCTACAACCTGTTGCTTTCAGCAG